GTCAGTTGGGATATAGCTCAGTGGTGCTGTACCTGTTTCAAAAGCACAAGGTCCTGAGTTCAATTCCTGGTACCACAGGGGGAAAAAAGTGAAGGAATGAAGGAATGAATGATACAAAAAGACTAAAACAATAAAAGGGATGAAATGAGCTAGTCATGGGACTATATGCCTGTAATCCCAGTGATACTGGGAGACAGGATTGAAAGTTTGAGCACACCCTAGATAACTTAGTGAGATCCTTTCTCAAACAAACAAAAAAATTTTATTTTATTGCTTGTTTGTTTTGTTTTGGGGGATCTTACTATGTACTTGAGACTGACCTGGAATTCACTATGTAGCCCAGGCTGGTCTGGAACTCACAGCGATCCCCTGTCTCGGCTTCCCAAGTGCTGGGATTACAGGCGTGTGCCATCAGCACTGGCATAAACAATTTATTTTAAAAGGGCTTTGGCTATAGCAGAGTGAGAAGTTCCTGGGTTCAACTCCACTGCCTTCCCAACCCCAAAGAAGGAGGAAATTCCAAAGTCTGTAAGATCAAGGAACAGGGCCGGGTGTGGTGGCACACACCTGTAATCCCATCTGTAATTACACCTGTAATCGGGAGGCTGAGGCAGGAGGATCGCTTGAGTTGAGACCAGCCTTGGCTACATAGTGAGTTCCAGGTCAGTCTCAACTACATAGTGAGACCCTGTCTCAAAAAAACAACAAAAAAAAAAAACCACACAAAAAAAGATCAAGGAACAGAAACAAAGTCTGTAGACAAGGGAGAGTAGATAGAGGTACAGGACAAATTTAGTAAAACAAAGATTTTATATATAATCCAGCATATGCCTGAAAATTGTTTTGTGAAATTTGGTTTCTCTTATACAGACATATATATATATGCATGGGCTGTATGCAAAGGCATATGTCCTTAAGAACATTTAATGGGTGATACCTATAATACATATAAAGCAAGCAATATTCACTATAAAGTACTGCTATTATAAATTTAAAGTACATGGTTCACACTTGAATACAAATTCAACTGTTACTGTACTTCCTCAGGCAAAACTATATAAATTAATTAAAAAGAATGCCTGAATATTTTTTTTAAGTGCTAGAGGATTGAACTCAGGACCTCCACAAAGCAAAGCAAGCATTCTGTCACTAAGCTATATCCCAGACCCCCTCTTTTAAAATAAAGCTTAAAACACATTAAGGAAAATAAATATTTTAGTTAAGACTCAAAGCAACAAAAAGATTATAATGGTAACCTATTATATGGGATGTTTGTGAGCAAAACATAATACTAAAGGCTTTACACAGATTGTTTCAGGTCATCTTTTAACAATCCTTTGAGATAATGGTAATGGTATCAGTTCCATTTGCATATGGAGATATAAAAGCCTAACTAACAGTACATAACTTGCCCAAATTTATATACCAAGCGGAAAAATTAACAGCCAGCTTCCATAGACCAGTCAATGGCAAGTACATTTTTGCATCTCTGAGGTTCACCCGATTGTTTCAGAAAAGTCTAACAGTGGGCTGGGGATTTAGCTCAGTGGTGCTGCATCTGCCTGGCAAACACAAGGTCCTGAGTTCAATTCCCATACAAGAGGGGATGAGAGGGGAGGGGAATCAAACAATCTAAACAGGGTGCAAGGAAGAATTTCACTGCCGCCTGCGGCATTGTTATGTAAAATAAGTAAATTAATACCACTTACCAAATCTGTAGTTTGATCTTCTTTCCTTGTAATTCAACTGTTTTGATCTTAAAGTCTATTCCTGTAACACAAGAGTGGGGGATAACTTGTAATTAATTGTAGCTTTCTGCTTAGCTATTATCAAAATTATCAAATTTACTGAAGTAAAGAATGCTGACACTTTTTAAACTGCAAATCTGAGCAAATGTGTCCATAATCTTAAATCCAAGAAAAGGAAGATTCGGAATGGTCAAAGAAATAGTTATTCAGAAAAGTTTTTACAAATTAGCAAAAGAAGTAAAATTTAAAATATGTTATTATAGTTAGAGATTTTTAACACCCCTTTCATAGTTGATTTTTTTAAATGTGGAAATAAAAATTAGTAATATAGAATACTTGAATAACATTATATTAACCAGTTTGACCTAAATAATATATAAATTTCCATCTAATAATAAATACACATTTGGTTTTTAGGCTTGTGTTGTTGTTGTTATTGTTTTGGTACTACAGTTAAACTCAGGGCCTTGCATGTATTAGGCAAGTACTCTAAGCAACTGAGCTCCATACCTCACCCCACACTTTTTAAGTGTATACTCAACGGGTACTAAAATAAAACAGAAGGGCAATAAATAAAATTTCAATACAGTTAAGAGTACTGAAGTTATACAAACTGTTTTCTGACCACAATAATCAGGAATCAATACTAAAAAGACATCTGGAAAAAACAACTCTCAAAATATCTGGAAATTCATAGGTTAAAAAAAAAAAAAAAACGCAAGCTGAGCATGGTGGCGCACACCTGTAATCCCAGCACTCAGGAGGCTAAGGTAGGAGGGTCACTGTGAGTTCAAGACCAGCCTGCCTGGGCTGCATAGTGAGTTCCACGGCAGTCTCAACTACAAAGTGAGATCCTGTCTCAAAAAACAAACAAACCAACAAAAAATGCAAGCTGACAGTGACACACAAGGGGAATTTATCACCAAGTAGCTTGAGCCAAAAAACACAGTGGGAGTACAGAGCAGTTAGGGTAAACTGTTGGTTTACTGAACACCTTTGCAGGCTGTACCTCCACTGGTACACACACTCAGACCTCATTAAAGACGGATGTGGGCAAGATTTTAAAAAATGCAATTAAAATTAGAAAAAAAAAAATAAGTGAACTAAAATGAAAATAAAATGTAACCAAGAGGGTAAAGTGGATCTTTAAAAATTAGGTTGTTTTGTTTTGTTATCAGATAGGCTACTTCTCCAACTTCCTCACACCAAGGGGACACAACCTTCCTCAACTCAGATGAGCAGACAGGAAGGTAATGCCTCTGTCAGAAATTAGCTTATATCAAAAAAAAAAATTCCCCAGCAATCTGTGTAAAGGAATGTGCAGGTGCTAGCCCTTGGAAGTCAGGCTCTGGTTTCCATAAGGGAGGGAATGGAACAGCATAGGAATTTCCTTATTTACTGTCTCATTTATACTCCTCTCCACCTCTTGAAATAAAAGGTCCCTCCATCCCTGTTGGAGTCAGTTTTGAGCAAACCTTTTCCTTTTCCATCAAAGATTGTCTCCCACGTTTTAGAGTACCGTGGTCAGTTACAAAAACACTTCAAAATGTGTAGGATATAGTTCAAAGTAGTACTTGAAGAGAAATTTATAGAAAATGCCCATTAGGAGAGAATATTTATTCTATTTTATGCAATGGAGTGAAGCCTGATTCTAGAACTGAAAATAAAGCCCATGAATATTTTTAAACTTAAAAAAAAATTTACATTAATTGAACTATACCAAAATCTGTGCACTGTTTCAGAAGGGGAGGAATATCAAAAGAACAGATTAAACTGGCAAACTTCAGTTTTATAATCTCAGTTTATAAACCTCAGTTTTGATCCTATGGAACAAATTCAAAGAGTTGTATCTATTAGAGCAGCCTCAACTAATAATGAACACTTAATGAAGAAAACTGGCTAAAGGATATAAACAAATCAAAGAGCTTCAAGAGAAAACATGCTATAGTCTTTAAAAAGGAAAAATAGATAAAAACTAAAGCAATTAGAACCTTTTATGATTCCAACTGATACATCACAAATTAAAACTTTAAATATTTAAAGATTCCATAAATTTTTCCAAGGAGAAATAATCTTTTAGTCTAAACATTTTGAAGGTTTACAGAATTAAAGTGGAAGGAAAAGAATTTTTACAAGTCCCAGTCCATAAACTCAAGGGAAGGAAAGGTGAGAAGGAAAATGTGCTTCAAGTAAAAGAAGAAATAGACCAGGAGTGTCCGGGCATATACGGTAAACTAAGCTACTCAGGAAGTTGATGCAGAAGGATCAGAAGTTCAAGACCAACTTAGGCAACTCAGCAAGTATCTGTCTCAAAATAAAGGGATAAGGATCTAGCTCCACCATAGAGATACTACCTAGCAGGGGAAAGGCTCTGGGGTCAATCCCCAGTACCACAATAAAAGGAAAATAAATTACTCAATGGTTTTCCTATTCACACCTCTCCCCCACCCCGCTTGCATGGTTTCTCTTCTGTATCTCATTTTTTGGATTTTTCTTTTTTTCTTTTTCTTTTGGGGATCGAACTCAGTACCTTGCGCTTTCAAGGCAGGGGGCAGCACCAGAGCTAAATCCTTTACCCTTGTATCTCATTTTTAATAACTAATGTCTCACTAAGAAATGGTCAACAGATCTGCGATTAAATATGCTGAATACCTCTTTTTGGCCCCCACAATCTGTAATGCCCCATAGACCCTTCAAACTCCTGGATTTACCATGGTGCTACCCTCTCTTAATTTGAGTCTATCTGCTTCTACAAGCCAGAATCTTTCAGTTTGTCCTGTTTTCAATACCCAATCAAAAGGGGCCACCTAACCAACATTAACCTTTTAGTCCATGTCCTTGCCAATATTTTTATTTTTCTAAAAATTTCTCAAATAATCACCTGGTCTTCAAGGCTAATCCCTGAAAGTTATCTACACATGTAATCTCTTTTTTTTTTTCTCCTCCCATCTCTTGAATCCTTTTCAATCATGCTTTATTGTTTTGATTAAACATCCCTCCACCAAACTGCTCTCAATGAGGTAAAACACTTCATGTTTCTACTTTTTTCCTTGTGTGTGTGTGGCGGGGGCGGGGGGAGGTGTGCTAGGGACTGAATCAAAGCCTCCTGCATGTTATGCATGCACTCCACCACAGAGCTATGCCCAGAACCCAAATGTCACTCTTAGGTCCTTATGAGTTGACCTAATTAGCAAGAATTGAAGCTGTGCTTCATTCCTTCCTGAATGAAAATGCTTCTTACCGAACTGCCTATATGATCTACTGGAATTTCTACCCTGCCCTACTCTCATTATCTCTAAGAACAGGATGTCAGAAGTACAGAAGTCCCCATTCAAGTAGGCTACCAGAGTGACAGCCAGACAACCTGTAACTTCACTATAATTCCATCTATATGCTAAATGCCTCTCCTACCCAGACTCAGTGTTGTGACTGCTGACAAATGACCTGAAAGAACCTTGAAAGGGGGGGACAAAATTTCCGGAAAATACCTACCCCATCCACAGAAAAGACAAGAAGATTTTCCTCTTTATTAGGCTATCCCTTCCCCTCATTTCTTTTATCCTGTATCTATGACTTCTCTGCCCCTAAAGAGCTGAGTTGATTTTTTAATCTGTCTCTAGCTTCTCTTACTCTTTGCCAAGGACAGAAAAGTCTTCACTGTTCAACTGGAGCTCATTCTCATATGGCAGTTCTGGGATCCTGAGGAAAAAGGACCCAAGCCTGGCGGCTTGGTGTGATGTGGTGTGGTGTGGTGGTGCACACCTGTTAACACCAGAATTCTAAGAGACTGAGGCAGGAAGACTGCAATTTTGAGGTCTCTCCACCCTCCCACACCCGAGCAATTCAGCAACTTAGTGAGGCCAAACCTAAAACTTTTTAAAGGGCCAAGGACACAGCTCAATGGAAAGGCCCTGGATTCAACTCCCAGCATGGGGGTGGGAGTAGGGTAAGTGAAAAAAAAAAAAACCTCTCCTGTTTGTTACTCTTTCTTCTTCTTTTTTTTTGCCATTCTTCAATCTCTCTCACTGATTTCTCCTCCCCTCTATGACCTTAAAAACTACAATGAATTCTTTTCTATCTTTACTCACTCCCTAGTCCCCTAAGTAGTGATTTCCCTGTCTTTATTGCTTTTAATTCTAAAATACACCATGATGATTCTTACATTCCAGGCTATACCTCTCCCTTAAACTCCAAACTCAAGACACTCAACCTACTAGCTATCTCCAAATCCCATCTCTCACAGACTAAAACCAAAAATCCTTAAAGTGGCCCATAAGGCCCTAATACACTCCCCTCTCACACACCTTTTAACTTGTCCTCAACATTATATGTATTATCTTATTCTGGTTCAAGGAAGTATACTTTTTTCTTTTTTTGTTCCACACAAGTCAGGCAGATTCTCATCCCAGGGGCCTCTGCATATAATATGACTCCCTAGCCTGGAATACTGCTGTCCCCCAGCATGGCTTCCCTAGCCACTCTAACCTAAACCGTAATGCCCCCCTCCACTCTGTCACCATACCATTTTCTGTTGTGGCTCCCTACCCCTATATTCATCCACTCATATTCTTATTCACACACACACACACTCACTCTGAGTTCCATCCCCAGTCTCTTTTTTACTTTTTTATTTTGAAACAGGGTCTCTGTCACTAAATTGCTCTGGCAGGGCATGAATTTGAATCCATCCTGCCTCTTCCTCTGGTAGTGCTGGATTACAGGCCTGAGCCATCAGGCTTGGCTCATACTACTTCCTTTTCAACAGTTCTTGAATCTGCAACTTGTCTCCCTTTGCAAATTGTTAAGGCCTACAAGAGTACAGATTTTTATCTGTTTAATTCATTTAAATTCTTAGTACCTACCTAGAACAAAGCCTATGCTGGGGATTTAGCTCAGTGGTTTCGGTGCCTTCTTTGCAAGCACAAGGACCTGAGTTCGATCCCCAGTACCAAAAAAGAAAAGAAAAGAAAAAGAATAGAACAAAGCCTGATATATAACAGCCACTCAAAAAATATTTATTGA